GGAATGTATGGAATACAATAAACCCTTATGGTTACCTATATGTATTTTGAACTCAACATGTAACCAATTACAGAGAACTGGCAAAATGTGCCACAACATTGAAAAAAAAAATCTGTAGTGTGTTCATAGGTTGTGTGGGCATGTTACATCCCGGTTGGCCCGACCGAGGAAGCAGGATAACCTCGGGGTCCCCATCCGAAGCTTTTTGCTAGGAAGCCAAACTGGCAAGACAACAGGATGGAGCTGAGAGTCCGCAGTCCATTGCGGGCCGGTGTCTCTTTCATTGGATCATAAGCCCTTCGGTTGGGGTCAAACGTCCAAGATGCCCAATCGCGCCGGTGACCGTTACCACAACCGGAAAGGTATGGGTGTGGTTCGTGCCACTCCTATTGGTTGATTTGGAATCAGGATTTTTGGCCAACTCACCTAGGTGAGCTAACAGTGGTTCACCAACCCGGTTCTAGCCCTGAATATCGGCTTTTTGTCCTATCAATTCGATGGGAAAACATCTCCGCCAGGGAAGGCAGTGAGTACGGCTTCCACAACAGAGGCTGTTTGAGACGCTTGGTCATTAAGGAACATTTCGCGAGGTGTACAGAAATGGTGATCAGTCACAACTCTAGACCCCCACCCCCGACTATTCTGCCGCTTTCAGAGGCATGGTTCCCCATGCTTCAAATGAAACCAGAATGATTATATTAGGTTAGCTTTGTAGACTCAATCAACCTGCTATTTAGGAGAGGGGTAAAAAGCACCCTGAGGTAGTAGTAGTTTGACTCAGACGTATTCTAGTTCCCGGTAGAAGTGCTCAACAAAATTGCTTTACAAATGATGTTTCTCCACCTCGAAGTAACTCTAAGTTAGGTCATGTAGAATCGTGTTGGCCAGGATAAGCTCCCTGTGCATCTATGGGCTCCGTACGAGATGGACCTTTTCAACGAGGTCATAACCGGAACGCCCTAGAGCAAGCTGAGAGAGGATAGTAAATCTTCAGATGTGCTTCCAAGTGAGGGTTACTGCATACGGAAAATAAATCAGTTAGGTCAGTTTGATGATCTGGTCGATTGGTAAAAACAATGAGACGATGGGACCTAGAAATTCATTCCAAAAATTCTGCAGTCTCCAAGATGAGCACGTCACCAAATGGTGATTTGAGAACTTCAAATCGTATTATCGATATTCCCTATCGATAATTTATTTCGAACACACTCAACCTATTCTGATTACATGGACTTGCAATTGGACGATCGGTTTAGCGAGAACAACTGCCCGCCTCACATTTGTTCATCTATTCGTCCACCTATCAGTCATCATTATCATCGCCATCAGGAGCCCCCATGTCTTTGTCCCCCCAGATGACATTTGAACGGACATCGAAACAACTGATCTCGGGCTTGTTCGAATTTGTCACCCCTCCCCCCCCCCTTGGGGAAGGAAAGTGGCCGAATCGCATGTGATCGGGCAGGTAACAACGATTAGGACAAACATTCGCCTACATAGAAACTTGTTACCCTAGGTTGAGAACTGGATTGGAAAAGAAAGCCTAAAAGACAGTGGATCATCACGACAGGTGAGAGGCACTGAGACAGAGAGAGAGAGAGGAATAAATAAACCATGAGAACACAAGACGAGATGAACTGAAGCGTACAAACTGGACCATTTAAAAAGCATTGCACTTTAAATGACTGAAAGTACGCGGGGGTACCATTCATTGTGAGCCTAAATTGACAACACTATCTTTGTAACCATTGGAATGTGGGGTGTGCACGACAGACAGCGAGAAGGGAAAAAAACCTGGACGCATCTCATCAGACTGTCAGTCATCCGAAACTGGCGAACGAAAGAATTTGTTTATAAAGGGATTACCGTTGGGAATGGATAGATGAGGCCCAGGAAACAGAAGTTAACCGGATTCCGAACGGAAATTATGTCAACGATTCATGTGAAGGTGATACCCCGATGCATATGGGCATAAGAGAAGGAGAGAAAAGGTGGGGGAAAAACGCGATGGAACTTTTTATCACGTGAATTTTATACGGAGGATAAGCAATGTGATACCGGACTGAGCCTGGGAGTGTCAGACTGTGCTGGATTTAAAAAGGAATGGATAGGGGTATATGTATAGCTCGTGCGATAGCGAAACAGACAACCGGTGAATACACCCCACCGCCAACACCCCAACCACCCCCCCCCCCTCCCTATGTATGTGGATTGATTCCCTCCGTTAGTGTGGCTTGCACATAGCCCCGAGTTGAACCCAATGAGATGGAAAATTTGGTCTATTCTGAACCGAAAATTGTACTGACATTCTGAAGTTTACACCACAGAACACGCGTTAGAAGTATCTTTGAATAGAAAGTGGAATAATATTGAGATCGACATGATGAGAACTCTCATACAGAGAGCATGCCAAGAAAAAGTGTAAAAGATCTGAGACGAAATAGCCAAAGTCAAAGTCAAAGTTTCATTATGGGAAATACTTACAAGCGTTTGTTTAGTACAAATGGATCGATTTGCTGTTTATAGAAAGATGAGGAATGTCACAAATTATCCTTGTTCTGTACACTGTTATGGATGTTGAAATTTAAGACTTTTCAAAGCTTCATCCAGATTGTGCTTGAAAGAATTAATTGTGGGAGAAGAAACAACAAGTGGTTGTAGAGAATTCCAAGTAATGCACACTCTAAAGGCAAATGAATGACGCCAGTATTCTAGTTGATATTTTTGGAGCATTAATTTGAATGAGTGCTCCCCTCTGAGGTGAGTATTGGGCGACAAGGCAAAGAATGAACGACATGGGTGATCTGGATGATGCATTATTTGATATACCAAAATCAAGTCCCCTCGAAATCGGCGACACTGTGTGGCGTACAACCCCGGTGATTCCAGTCTTTCCGTATAAGTCTTGGAATCTTGGAACGCAGTCCCTTGACCATTTTGGTGGCCATTATTTGTGGTCTTTCCAGCATCATACGATCGCGTTGCAGTCATGGATTCCATGCTGGAATGGCGTACTCTATGTGGGGTCGAATGTGGGCTGATGACAATCGTGGGAACAGCGCAGGTTCAAATTTGCCAAATACTCCTTTTAGCAAACCAATATGTCTTAGCGGTAGACGACTCCTGGGAGCAGTTGAAATAACAACTTAGGTCGTCTTGAACAATGACACCGAGATCTTTCTCATTAGAGACCTACGGAATTAGCTGATCTCCCAGGAAGAAAGGAAACCGAGTTTTGTGGCGAAGCGATAAGACCGTATATTTTGATGCATTGAATTCGATGTCGTTTTCGATCGACTATCGATAAGTAGCATTTAGTATTCTCTGAAGTGCCAATGTAGTTCGTGCTAAGCTTATTTCAATGAGCAAGTTCCAGTGAGAAGGGTACGACACTTTTGTCGCGATGAAAATTCTGTTTATATATATGTATCTATATCTTTGAAACAAAAGATGATTTAATGAAATTTCGTATATGGACTTTTCATTTGTTTGCCGTCTAGATTCGGAAAAATGGTGATGAGGATGATCGTGCATGTGGGAGCGGAGATAATCCGAAATTCAAGGGGAGCAGGGGTTTATAAGTAATTGGCAATTCTTCGACCATTGAAGTTGCCGATCGAGAGTCTCCAGATGGCGAATGAGAAAAATATCGCTTAGGTGATTAATTGTGACTGTCGATTGGACACCGGACACCGGTCTGGAACGTCTAGCAAAAAATGACTGAGGTTATGATGGATTTTCGCCCCGGGGGAAGTGATTCCTTTGCAAAAAAAGCGATAAAATGTCCAAATAAAGCATCACTGTGATGTGTATGAATCTAAATGATCACTAAATAAGACGATCACCAACTCCGAGGGGTTATACCGATTACGCGAGAGGTGAAATTGTGTCGTGGAAGGAAATAGGCCAAGTGGTACTGACAATATCCAGTTGGATTTGTTCCCAATATTTCTTACGGATTCCTTCTTGAGGTCCACTTATCTTCACGTAGGGAGCAGCTGGCTCTATAGAGAAATAGCAAATAATTGGATTGTCAAACCTTTAGATGATTCTGTGCATTCGTGACACACAAATCACTCGATAAATACCAACAGAATGAACAAAGAGCACATTGTTTACAAACCACACTGTTCGTAATTGATTTTCGGGTAAATAGCGAGCGGCCTACAAGATCCGACGGAGCTAACATGCAAGAAATGAAGTACGGAAGAAGAGTCTCGATACAAGAAGACAAAAACACTTGCAAACAGTTGGACTGGTGAAATTTCACGGCCGGAATAACATATCTGTTTCAGTCTTTAAAACATGCGGTATGTAACTCAAACGGAACGTAATAGATTTATCATGAAACAGGTGTTTGGACAGTGTAAAAAGTGAAAACATTTGGCATTCACAGTGGGCTAGCGTTCAAACACGGTCTCTACGCAGTCGGATTCGGAGGGTGCTGATGGTGATGATGATACAATACCCACGTGTGGTCACTTCACGGTTTGACTCACTCGCAACGAATGTGTTCATCCGTGCTCAATTGTTTCGGCAGTGTGCCACAATCGCCCGGATTTTCCGATCCAGTCAAATCCAGTACGAGAACGCGACACGTGTGAGCAGACTCGGAGATTTTCGAGGACTCTGCCGGACTGGTCGGTTTGATTGAACCCATGACCGAATTGGTCACATTCGATGTGGAGCTATTTTGTGGTTGTGCCTGTGTGTGAACGAGATGAGAGAATGTGTGTGTGTGTGTGTGTGTGTGTGTGTGTGTGTGTGTGTGTGTGTGTGAAACAACGCAGATAATGCATTCGAAAGCGATATGTGAGGAGAGAGAGAGGACAAATAACATGGTACATATGACCTGTTACACGGTTTGCCTGGTTTCCAAATCACCTTATACACAATGCTAATAGCTACTGTTTCATTTGAGTCATAAGTTAAATAACCGCGGGATCGATAACAACTGTACAAATAGTTTTCAGGAAGGAGGAAGTGATCGATCAAAGAATTGCCCCACACAGATAAATCAAGGTAAACAACTAATTATGCCAATTTCAGTATTTTCAAAGTTAATTTAGAATTTAGCATTTTACGGGTCCCGGAAATTATCTTAAAAAATAGTTTGTGCCGTACGTCTTCGACCGGAAACCCAATAGTTTGCCGTTTCAGTCCTGTCCGAGATAAAAATGTAAGCTTTGCTCACGAGAGGTCAATTTGCGATTTTTGAGTGGGTCACTGTGTATGATGTTCTGGCATTTAACACAGGTCCTCGAAAAATAAAAACAGGGTCAAGAACTTTCCTTATACATCGAGCACACTTCCCCCTTCCATTTCCAATATTGATTGCAAATTATGAAACGGTGTTCTGATTCTGCAGTTTTTGAGATAATCCAGAAATAACTGTAATTTTGAAAAAGTAGCTTACGTTCAAACCCAAAATGTCCTCTTAGATTACACAATTAACTTGTATAGCGAGTAGCATAATTCGTCAGCTCTCTTTACAATTATCCAAACGCAGTTGGTTTAATAGAGATATCTCACTCCGTTCCGGATATTCTGTAGTAAAACTGGAGGATAGAAATTGTGCTAGTGCTTCTATCCGGGTGTCAGAGAAACGGCACATCATCTCCATGCTACACAGGAATACGATGTGAATGTGATAAGAATAACGCTTTTATCGATCAAACACGATCCTTTGGTATCGGCGGAAAATCACAGGATGTGATTGTTCAAGGAGAGAAAAGAGAGAATCACACATGTAATAGATACCGACAGGCACGCTCAAGGCAAAGGACTGAGATGTGTGATGAGCTTTGGAGCCTGTGGTGCCGAGACACGTCACAACTCGGTCTGCACCATTCCCATCCACTTCGCCCGCATTTTAACAGGAGATGGGGAAGTCTTTCTGCTGAATGATGATGATCCAGATATTAGAGTATGAGGCGTGTGAACGATGTGAGCCTGGCAATCTTGATATGGTCTGTGATTAGAATTACATCAACAGTGCCCTCACTACATGGCATGTGTTTTCAACTGGTTCCTTTGACAACCATCTCCCCACTCTCCTTCATTGTGGGATCACTGTTGTCTCGATTGGGGTTCGGTCGTAGTATCGGTCAATTGAAACTGAGGGATCGTGAAACAGAACTGAAACATACACACGAAACGGTATGCACAAAATTTATCAATATCAGCTATTCTGATCAGGTATGTTCGGTTGCACAAATAAACAATGGTCCTTCTTTCGTTCTCGCGCACACACACACACACACACACACGGAGAGGAAAGAGGTTACAAATTTGAGTCATCACCGATGCGAAATGCATTATGTCGAAGATAACCAACAACGTGTTCTCTCACTTGACGTGTCTCCAGTGTTCGGAAAATGGATTCCATGAGAATGAAGACGATTCGCATACCGACCTTGATCTCGGTGAAAATTAAATTTCTAATATAATTACTGTAGGCATGTGTATAAGGTGTTGACAGTTGACCGTATGGCTTGGGAGCAAAGATTTTCGAGCCCATTCCGGGGATTCGCTATTCGAGACCCAGTAGAGGCCAACTCAAAGTATACTAGGCAGATAAATTTCATCAGGATTGACACAATTATGTACTGATTTATCGCGACCATCGCCAAAGGTGTCATCACCTATTCTCTGTGTATGTGATATGGTAGCCCTCTGATTGATCGAATCCTCCTTTGTGGCCAGTAGTACATGAATTAAAGGTACAATCTAAAAAGGTTCAATACAGCAATGTGGCCCTGTCGAATCGATACAATGGTAATGTGTATTTTTACCGAATGGGTTACAACTTGGCCCGTGACCATTTCGGACTTTTGTTGTTCTAGTATGAGCTCTGCCTCGTCCAAAATATCCCCAGACTGTGCTCGGCCGTGGATGGGATTATGCAAAGGAAAAATCACCGGATTTGGTAACGGTTTCCCGGTTCGACTACGTAATACTCGACCCTGGTATGTGAATAACAGTTGTTCCGGCAATCGTCTGATCACATCCACCAATTCCAACGGGGTCAGTTCGTGTCCGGCTATGATGACACGAACAA